GCAAGTTGAGCCATGTCTTAGTCACTGAAGAGACACCATGACCAAAGCAACTCTTATCAAAGAGAGCATTTAATTGGGGGCTGGTTTACAGTTTCAGAACTTAGTCCATTATTATCATGGCGGGGAGCATGGTGGCACACAGACGGACATGGTGTTGGGGAAGCAGCCGAGAGTTCCACATCCTGATCCATAGGTAGACAGAAAGAGACTGGGCCTGGTGTAGGCTTTTGAAACCTCAAATCCCACCCCCCGTGACACACTTTCTCCAGCAAGGGCACACCTCTGAATCCTTGTAGTCCTTTCAGACAATTCCACTCCCTGATGACTAAGCATACAAATATATGAGCCTATGGAGGCCATTCCCCTCCCCGCGCCCCCCAGACAGGGTTTCTCTGTGTAGCTTTGGTGCCTGTCCTGGATCTCTCTCTGTAGACCAGGCTGGCTTCGAACTCACAGAGATCTGCCTGGCTCTGCCTCTGGAGTGCAGCCTGGTTTATGGGGGCCATTCTTATTCAAACCACCACAAACCACACTTGTAGCATCAGCAATGTTGTCCATTGCCAAAGATTAAATTTAAAACCAGCATCTCTATTCTTCAGACTTCCTCGGATAGATTTTCCAATTTCTTTAACTTGTCTGGCCGTATTCTAGGGAGACAAACAGGTTTTAGAAATATCATCCCCCTCTCTCAGGGTGTGTATTTGCAGCATTCTGCAAACATTGCTCAAGAAATCATTGTGAGGAAGTGGTTTTTCGCTATATGTCATTACACTATTAGATTTTTACTATAGAATCTGAGTCATAACTTTTAAAAACATTTCTTGTTGAGAAAGCAGACTGTTTCCAGTGATGCTCTTGGTCCTCATGCCATTGTCCTCGACACACACTGAATGTGGGAGCATGCGTTGATGCACGATGCCTTTTCCAATGGTCACCTTGGAAATCGTAACACGTTCTCTACAAATGAAGCAGGAAGCTTTTCTTCTTTTCACGGAACAATCTTCCTTCATAATTTTTGTTTAGGTTGTTTTCTTTTGAGATATTGTAGAAGCCACGCTGGAGTTTAAAATAATAATGGGAGCTGGAGAGGTGGCTCAATGGTTAAGAGTGATTGCTGCTCTTCTGGAGGATACAAGTTCAGTTCCCAGTACCTATGTTTGGCCTCCGTGGGTACTGGCCACTGGACACTTACATACACACACACACTTACACACACACACACACACACACACACACACACACACACAAATGAAAATAATCCTTATTTTTTATTTACTATTACATGAAGTGTGTGTGTGTGTGTGTGTGTGTGTGTGTGTGTGTGTGTGTGTGTATGTGTGTGTGCATGAGTGTATGTGTGAATGCAGGTGTCTGCAGTGGCCAGAAGAGAGCTACAGATCTCCTGGAGCTAGAGTTACAGGTGATTGTGAGAATCCTTATGCAGGTGCCTAGAACCAAATTCCAACCCTCTGGAAGAGCTGGCGGCACTCTTTTTTAAGACAGGGTTTCTCGTTAGGCAGCGGCACACGCCCTTAATCCCAGCACTTGGGAGCATCTCTGTGAGTTCAAGGCCAGCCTGGTCTACAGAGTGAGATCCAGGACAGACACAAATACTACATAGAGAACCCCTGTCTCGAAAAACCACAAAAAAAAAAAAAAAAAAAAAAAGGACAAGGTTTCTGTGTATAATAGCCCTGGTTGTTTGGGAATTCAATTCAGAGATCTGCCTGCCTCTGCCTCCCAAGTGCTGTGACTAAAGGCATGCACCACCACTACCTGCCAGCTGGAGGTGCTCTTAACCACAAAAACATCTCTCCATCACAATCAATAATATTAACAATAACAATAATAGCAGCTAAGGGACTATATTTACTTTTAAAAAATTGAAAATAGGTTCTTCTCTCATACAATACATCCCGATCACGGTTTCCTTTCCCTCCACCCTCCCAGCTCCCTCTCCTCCTCACCTCCTCCCTCCCCTGGATCCATTCCCCCCATGTCTCTTTCCAGAAAAGAGCAGACCTCCAAGAGACAGCAACCAAACACAACGAAACAAAACACAATAAGACAGTGCAAAAGCCTTCACACCAAGGCTGGACAAGGCAACCCAACAGGAGGAAAAGGGACCCAAGAGCAGGCAACAGAGTCAAGGAGATGCCTGCCCCCACTGTTAGGAGTTCCACAGGAACACCGAGCTAACAGTCACAACACCCATGCAGAGGACTCGGTGCACACTCCCACAGGCCTCCATGCTTGCTGCTTTAGTCTCTGTGAGTCCATGTGAGCCCTGCTGAGCTGACTCAGTGGACCACTTCTCCTGGTGTCCTCCATCACCTCTGCCTGCCACAATCTTTCCTCCCTCTCTTCCCTGAGGTTCCCCGATCGCTGAGAGGAGGAACCCGATAGAGACCACCAATTTAGATTTCCCTCTCCACATAATGACTGGCTCGTATGCATCCCCTTCTATCTGCTACTTAAGGAAGCCTCTCTAATGACTACGGGACAAGGCAGTGATCTATAAGTATAGAATAATATCATTATGAATCATTTCATTGATTTTTTTTTGACCAATCATGTTTGGTTTGACTCTAGGTCTCTGGGGTATCCATTCTCTGGTTCCTGGTCATCCAAGTCATGGTTTCCCTCTTGTGGAGTGGGTCTTAAGTTAAATCAAATGTTGGTTGCTTACTCCCACAAGTTATGCACCTCAATTGCCCCGGCACATCTTGTAGGTAGGACAGATTGTAGGTCAAAGGTTTTTGTGGCTGCATTGGTGTCCATGTTTCTCTTTTGGTAACCTGCAGAGTGCTTTCCCACACTAAAGAGACTAGGTCGCAATAATAATGGCTAAAGGACTATATTTACTTTTATTATGAAAGTTGGCAAAAAAAAAAGAAAAAGAAAGCAAAGTTTGGATTCATCTACATTTCAGACGTCTATGTAGAGAGGAAAGAGCTGATTAAGGCACTATGGGTGATGAATGAGGTGTCTCTGAGGTATGGGGGTACTTAAAAATTAATTAAGAATACTACCTAGGAGTGGAAAGATGGCTCAGAGGTTAAGATCACTGGCTGCTCTTCCAGAGGTGCTGAGTTTAATTCCCAATAACCACATGGTGGCTCACAAACATCTGTAATGAGATCTGGTGCCCTCTTCTGGTGGGTAGGGATACATGCAGGCAGAACACTGCATACATAACAAATAAATAAATCTTAAAAAGGAATATTTACCTGTCTTCTAAATAATTTAAACCGCTAACAACACACACACACACACACACACACACACACACACACACACACACCTCATCTTAAAGGGAATAAGAGATAATTTATTCTGGAGCAATGCTGAATGGCCTGTGAACACAGATTTAGGTTACCCCCAAGTCTATGTTCGAACGTGGAAGCAGTTTCATAGTTTTACAGAACAAAGAAAGTCATGAATCAAGGCAAGCTTAAAATACATTTGGTGGGTACACCAGAGAGGTGGTTACAAGATGAGAGAAACTTTTCTTCAGTCCCTAGATGTTATCTGACGACATTCTTTGCTTTCAGGCTGGTGGAAGTTAGGGGTCCACTAAGTTAATAGAATCCAAAGTTCTCTATATATTAGTCACAGGATGTTATTTCAGATAAGGGGCTAAAGCTAGTTCAAGACAAGGTAATTAACCTTTGGAGAGATTACTCCAGTCTCTCCTCAGTACTTCAGTTCTAACCTACCAACCTCTGCTGACACAGCTTCTTTCCAGGAGTTCTTGCTCACACACCTATCAGGTGCAATAAAACATCATTGATAATTGCATTTCACTTTAAGCACAGGTCACGCTAGATGATGCCAAAGCAACTGTGTGCTTGGAAGATAGCACCCTGGACATTCAGAGACACTGAAGTCACACATGTGTACAAATACTGAGATCACTGAAAAGTTTAAATCCCTTGGTAGTAATGCCACCACCGATTGTAATAAGTCAGATCAGGTTGAATTAGTAGGTCCAGGTTTAATCTGAGCAGAGCATTCCAGGATGGCCCCAGGAGAAGAGAAGCCATGAGAGGGAACCATGAGGGGAAGTCTTGGGCTTGTGGACCTTAAATACCCTCTGGGGGGTGGGGGCAGAGCTGTGTTTGGCAGGCTTTCTGAGATAAGGCAGGGTTTGAGGAAAGAGAGATGTGGGAGAGGGTTGAGGTGAAGTTTCCTCCAGAACATTCCAGACTCTTTGGGTATATGGATGCTGGGGGGGGGGGGAGCTGAGGTGGAGCATCCACCAGAACACACACACATGCTTATTTTGTGTATCATTGCGACATGACATTGTCATCTACCAAGTTTACACTCCAGAACCTAGCAATTAAGTTAAAAAAAAAAAAAAAAAAAAAACATCGTGAAAGTTCTCACCATGTTTTACACTGAGGATTTTGTTGGGCCGCATTCATTGCTTCCTAGGATGGACAGCCTGGCCTAAGAGCACATTTTCATGAAAGCAGATGTAGTTTGGCGTTCCAGACTTTGTCCTGCACGTGGTCCCTCATGGGCATTTCTCTTCTCTTTCTCTTCTCTCTCCTTCCCTTGGGTCAGTCCTCTTCTTGCCTATTGGGCAGTACCTAGGGGCAGCGCTTCTCAACTTTATCCTGCAAAGGGATTGTCTAGGGATCTGGCCGAAGGGCAGGTCCTGATTCAGGGTCCCACATTTCTGGCCGGTCCCAGGGGGTGGGTTGTTGCTGTTCCTGCGATACACTTTGGGTTTAGAGTGTGCAGGAGTGGGAGGCGGTGGCCTGGGTTCAGATGTGAATTCTTTCTTTTATTCGAGTGTGCCCGAGGGCAGGATAACCTTGTCTGTAAAGTTATCAGCTTCCCAGGGCTGCTAAGCCAGAGTCAAGGAGTGTAGCCGGGTCAGGATCCTCTGTGGGGCGGGGCTAGAGCTGGGGTGGGGCGGGGCTAGAACCGAGGCGGGGCGGGGCTAGAACCGAGGCGGGGCGGGGCTAGAGCTGGGGGCGGGGCGCGGCGGCCGTGCGCGTGCGCCGTCGGGGTGAGCAGGCCTCAGGTAAGGACCTGGCTGTGTGTTCAGCGCCGTCGGGTCCCCAGCGTGGGGCGCGTGGGGTCTTGTGACATTCTTGGGTCAGGGGAGAGCACCCGAACGAGACTGTCCCGCTGGCACGGGGGCGCGGGGCAGGCGCGAGCGTTTCCGGGTCCCCGATCGCCGCGGCGCCTGCTGGGACCTGCACCCCGGGTAAAGCCGGGCGCTCGCTGTTGGATCCATCCCGGGCAGCAGCCCCAGGTCGCAGCGCCGCCCGGCGGACCGGCTTCCCTTACCCCGGGATCTACCCAGGAGGACGCGCAGGGCTGCATCACAGGCGCTCGGCCGCCTTCCCTTCCCCGCGATCTACCCTGGAGGACACGCAGGGCAGTTTCATCTGCACCCAGCCGGGTTGCCTTACCCCGGGTCCCCCGCCGGAGGTCGCGCAGGGCTGCATCACCTGCGCCCGGCCGGGTTCCCTTACCCCGAGTCCCCCGCTGGAGGACACGCAGGGCAGTTTCATCTGCACCCAGCCGGGTTGCCTTACCCCGGGTCGCCCCCTAGAGGATGCGCAGGGCAGTTTCACCTGCACCCAGCCGGGTTCCCTTACCCTGGGTCCCCCCACTGGAGGACGCGCAGGGCTGCAGCAACTGCGCCTGGCTGGCTTCCCTTACCCCGGGTCCACCCTGGAGGAGAACGTGCAGGGCTGCATCACCTGCATCCGGCCAGCGTCCGTTACTCCTGGTCAACTATGGAGGACACGTAGGGCAGCTTCACCTGCGTTTCAGCTTGTGCAAGAAGGCCGCATGGTCTTTGGTCTCCCTGGGACCTTGTCTGGACAGGTGTGCCCCTAGTGACTAACGGGCTTTATTATTAAGTAGAACCCTCCCGAAGTGCAGGGCCTTGGAATGTAACATGTCCATCTGTTTTTTTGTTTTTGTTTGTTTGTTTTTTTGAGACAGAGTTTCTCTTTGTAGCTTTCGCTGGCCTGGAACTCACTCTGTAGCCCATGCTGGCCTCGAACTCATTGAGATCCGCCTGGCTCTGCCTCCCGAGTGCTGGGCTTAAAGGCGTGGGCCACCGGCTATTTGAACTGCTTGAAACTTTAGCATCGCTCTCTTCCAAAAACCAAACAAAGATTTTGCTCAGATTAATCTATGGGATAGGCTGCAGGCAGATGTGTCTGTCTCTCCTTGCCCCAGCCCTGGAATCTTAAAAACAGCCCTCAGAACTTGGTGCTGAATATGACTGTCAGTGATGCAGAGGACTGGGAATAGAGAAAGACAGCTGTCCTTCCTGCCCTAAGTGAGTTTATTTGCTTCGTTTTTAAAATGAGAGCAATAAAGTTTAAGTCTTGTGGTGCCCTAGTGATCCCATTATTAAAATGAAAAAGTAACATTGGAGGAGGGACACTTGGTAACATAGTCCAAGGCTAATCCTGACAGTATTTAATTACCTTCACGCTTAGGTACCTTGAAAGGGAGGTGAAGGCAGATGGAGGGATTGGCTGACCATGAACATTATACAACAGCATTGAGGACAGAGCAGTGGGAAAATATCAGAATGAGATCAGAAGATTAGTGGTTCTTCTTTTGATTTGAGGTTATAGGGAAGCAGAGTGAAAACTGGACTACCTTTCATATACTCAGCAAGTCAAAATTTTTTTAAAATAATTTTTTAAGATTATTTATTTATTTAGAAGAGGACATCAGATCTCACTACAGATGATTATGAGCCACCATGTGGGTGCTGGGAATTGAACTCAGAACCTCTGGAAGAGTAGCCAATGCTTTTAACCTCTGAGCCATCTCTCTAGCCTGCAACTCAAATTCTTATTTGCTATATAACCTTTCCTCAAAGACACCTCCCCCTGAGTGTTGGAAACTGAACTCGGGACTCATGTTAAAAGCTCAACACTAACACCCCTTTCTCGATTCATTTTTCCACACGGGGAGGGAGGATTTCTGTCACTGTAGTTTTGCCATTTACTGGGGCACCACCCAGTCAGCGACCACCTCATGGGCTAGGGTCTTGTATAAAAACTGGAGCCGGGCGGTGGTGGCGCACGCCTTTAATCCCAGCACTCGGGAGGCAGAGGCAGGCGGATCTTTGTGAGTTTGAGGCCAGCCTGGTCTCCAAATCG